ACACTTAATAATCACTTAATAATCAATAACAATCACTTGTTATTCACTAGTCTTTTAACACGTCAATACTGACAATCAAATTGTGATCCGATGCCAGTACTAACTTTATTATACTTTACGTCATATCTGCCATAAGTTTTCAATACTGGCAGTNAATATCGGAACGCAGCTTACTTTTGTCATTACATTCATGTACCATAGTTTACCTATCAATCATATTGGTATAAAATTGGTCTCTCATTAGATAACTAACCAATCAGAGATTGATCACCCATTAAGAAACCAATCAGATTAGTTATCCATTAAGTAACAAAGCAATGTGCGCTATGAACAACTCCAAACATCTATGTCGTGCTTCAACTGAGTAGAGCAATAATATGGGTGACATTACGTATAAGAGATAGACTTTGGACTTTTTGGATAAAAAAAACGAAAAAATTTACACTCGTTGCTACTTCTTACAAGTTAATTTTTGCGGTAAGTACAAGTATATTTTATATAAAAAAATTTTTATTGATTAATGTATGTGTACACTGCTTCTTAATTTTTAAATATGTTTTAGATAATGGATACTGACGAGGATTTTGACGAAGAACAACTTCGTAACATTACTTTAGAAGCAGAACAAAATAAAAAATTGCTCCTAGAAAATCGAAAACTCAAAGACGAGTTACTACTGATAAAACATCAACTATCGCAGATAAACGCACAGAAAGATAAGAGTAAGAACATTTTTTTATTATGATACATATATATACACTCATATATATTATATATTACAGAGAGAACACAAGAATCCACACAAGAATCGGATGTAGGACAAGAAAACAAGGGTAAATACATTTATTGTTTTTGTACATCACTTAAACATACACACACACGCATGTAACTTCTCTCTTAAGTACAATTATGTGACAGCGAAGTAGTGATATACTATAACACTATCTCACTGTCATATATAAATATGTGTATATGTACATAAGAGAGAANTTGTGTGTGTGTGTGCGTGTGTGTTATCCTATGCATGGATGTGTGAAAGTATATAAGTGAGACAATGAAATAGAAGGTACAGGTTATATTATGTATATATACGTATATAATTGCAGACCAAACTTCGATCGAAAAAACTTCTTNGCAAGAAAACAAGCGTAAGTATTTTTATTTTGTATATATACATCTCTCTCTTTCTCTTTTTCTTCCCTCACACACACACACACACACACACACACACAAATACGTACACTTTTATATCTATTTTTGCAGGAATAAGAGGTACAAGAGCGGGAAGAGCGAGAGCTCAATGGTACAAAAATCGCGGTACTCGTAGCCGCAATTATCGTGGCCGAGGTAACGTAATAAATATTCAGTTGTAAAATGTAAGTATAGCATGACAATTCAAATGTTTTATTTAATATTTAATAATATTAATAATATATATTTAATTAATAAATTTTATTTATGTACAGATTTCCAGTGATAAAAGAAGATGTCAAAGAAACTCTCCATTTTTTAAGAAAACTTCCAAATATTCTATATAATTCTATAATTTTAAGGAATGCTTTTGTTTCAAGAACGAATGAAACTTTATTATTAACAATAATATATA